ACCAATTCCAAAGGTGCAGCGTGGAAAGGGTGCAAGAAATGAAAGAAGCCATAGCAGATGTTGAAATCTACTCGGCCCTCCAGAATATGGGATCATTAAAAGCCCCGGGGATTGATGGGCTAAATGCACTATTCTTTAAGAAAAATTGGGCCACGGTTGGACAGTCAGTGCGGGACTTTATTCGTGTCATGTGGGAGTCGGGCTCTGTCCCACCAGAGGTTAATCAGACCTTAATCGTCCTTATTCCTAAGGTCGAGAATGCTTCTTCCATCAAGCAATTCCGGCCCATAAGTCTCTTGAACGTCATCTACAAACTCTTCACTAAGGTGCTGGTTAATCGCATGAAAGAATCTCTGCCTGAACTAATTCACCCAGCACAAGCAAGCTTCGTCCCGGGCCGCCAGATTATAGATAATATAGTCGTCGCCCATGAGCTGATCCACTCTATGCGCCGGAAGCAAGGAGCGTCGGGACACATGGTCATTAAGGTTGATCTCGAAAAGGCCTATGATTTCCTACGATGGGATTTTATAGAAGAGACCCTTAACCTTGCAGGTTTTCCTAGTATCATGACTACGGCCATCATGGCATGTGTAAGGTCAGCTTCGATGCGTTTGTTGTGGAATGGGACGCTAGGGGATGAATTCCTCCCCACTAGGGGGGTTCGACAAGGAGACCCAATCTCCCCGTATCTCTTTGTATTATGCATGGAAAGACTGGCACAACTTATAGACGGGGCGGTTAACCGACAAGCTTGGAAACCGATTTCTATCGGCCGAGGGGCGGTTTCGGTGCCTTTCTTGATGTTCGCCGATGATCTCCTCCTATTTATGGAAGCTACACACGAACAAGTAGGGGTCCTACATCAAGTTCTTGATCTTTTTTGCGACATGTCGGGACTGAAAGTTAGCCCGACAAAGACCCAAGTCTTCTTTTCACGCAACGTCGGGCTTGATGATCAACATTTGCTGGCGAATGCTTTACGATTCAAATGGACCAATGACTTGGGCAAATATCTTGGAATGCCAGTTATTCACGGCCGGGTTACCAAATCAACATATTCCCATATCCTGGAGAAAGCGGAAGATCGGCTCGCCGGCTGGAGGATGAAATCTCTTTCTTTGGCGGGACGTGTCACCCTTACCAATCGGTAATCAGTGCGTTACCTTTTTTCTCCATGCAAACTTCTTTGCTGCCGAGTGCCATCACTGAAGGATTGGAGCGTCGGAGCCGGGCGTTTATATGGGGAGGATCGAACGGAAAGCGTAGTATTCCTTTAGTCGCATGGAAGGACGTTTGCAAACCCAAGGATGAAGGCGGTTTGGGCATTAAAGACCTTCGCAGGATGAACCACGCGCTTTTAATGAAGCTAGGGTGGAAAA